GGATATTTATTTTAAAAATTGCATTTAGTTATATGTAAAAGGCAAACTTAAAAACCTTTGGAAGAAAATATGGCATATCTTTATAACTTCAGGCACATATTTTCTCATTATTCATCATTACATTCTTCCAAAAAAGACATCTTATTTTACCCTGGCACTTGCAGATCTCACTAGACCTCTTCAGCCTGAATATTTTATTTATTTTCCACCTTTTCTCAATTAGTGCATTTCAAGAGACATCCATCTTTCTTTGATTTCCTTTCATTTATTCTCCTTATCACAAATTTCTAGTGTAATTTTATACTAAGTAAACTGTCTGAATCTTATAAAGTTAAAGAGAAAAGTAAAAAAATATGTCCTTCCTGAAAGCAAATAATTCCAAAGCAATTTGCTGGGTAAAGTGGGAAAGGAGCCCAAACGGAAGAATCAAGGGAGGCTTTATTGAAGAGGCCAACACATGAATTGAATTGAGGGCTAAGAATGAGTTTACCTGGCAGCTAAAAGCGGGAAAGGGAAGAAGGAAAGAAGATATTCCAAGTAAAGACACGAAGGTTTAAGGGAGGACAATATAGTATGTTTGAGAAACAGCGATTGTTCAGTAAGCCTTTGAGATATATTTTACTGAATAGACAGGATTGGTAGCCAAGGCAGCTCACAAGGGACCTTGTGTTGCATATTAAACACTCAGGACTCAACTTTGTAATCAGTGGGGAGCCATTGGAAAGCTTGTAAACATGAAAATTACATCATTAGATATTTGTGTTAGAAATATCAGATAGGGCCGGGTGCAGTGGCTCACGCCTGTAATCCCAGCACTTTGGGAGTCTGAGTCGGGCAGATGACGAGGTCAGGAGATCAAGACCATCCTGGCTAACATGGTGAAACCCCATCTCTACTAAAAATATAAAAAATTAGCCAGGCGTGGTGGCGGGCGCCTGTAATCCCAGCTACTTGGGAGGCTGAGGCAGGAGAATGGCATGAACCTGAGAGGCAGAGGTTGCAGTGAGCTGAGATTGTGCCACTGCACTCCCGCCTGGGCAACAGAGTGAGACTCTGTCTCAAAAAAAAAAAAAAAAAGAAAGAAAGAAAGAAAGAAAAGAAATATCAGATAGGCAGGAATATGTAAGGTACGTGAGGCAACAATTAACCTAATATTCTTCTATCAGTATGAGTTTCTACAGGGCGAACATTCATTTCCCGTACGAAATGTTTATCAGTGTGGAAACTCAATGTCAGAAGGAACATGCTGCTTCTCTTGGGTGTAGGGTATGAACAGTACGACCTTCATCGATTAATAAACTCAGTTGGGAGTGGTATTAGTTACAGAAGTCTTTGTAGAGGTGATGGCTGAGCTCTACTTGAAACAAGAAAAGAGCACTCCAAATAAAGGAATAATGATGGAGACAGGAAGCATTGAAGCTTTTTGGAAAATGATGCTTAATTTAACATAGCAGAACTCACAATGCATGAAAGTGAAGGGTATAAAATTTCACAATGGGCTGGGCGTGGTGGCTCACGCCTGTAATCCCAGCACTTGGTGTGCCAAGGTGGGTGGATCAAGACCCAACTGGGGTCTTGGGACTTCAAGACCAGCCTAACCAACATGGAGAAACCCCATCTCTACTAAAAATACAAAATTAGCCAGGCGTGGTGACACACGCCTATAATGTCAGCCACTTGGGAGGCTGAGGCAGGATAATTGCTTGAACCCGGGAGGTGGAGGTTGTAGTGAGCCAAGAACGTGCCACTGCACTCCAACCTGTGCAACAAGAGCGAAATTCCCTCTCAACAAATAGATATATAAATACATAAATAAAATCTCACATTGGAAGGAAACTTTAAAGGTCATCTTTTACCACCTTCTAATCATTCCTGTAAAGCCCCTGCTTGAGTTCCTTGTGTGACAGGGGCTGGGCACTGACTATCTCCTGGCAGTCTTTCTATTTCAGAAGGTTCTGGAAGGCAGTAATTTTTTACCTTGAGCCAAATCTGTCTTCTTAGTACAGCTTCACTTTTAACTTAGGACTGTATAAGGCAACACATATCTTTTCCATACACAAGAGTTTCAGTAACTTAAAAATAGCTATTAAGTACGTTTGATTGGTTTCTCAGAGGATGTGGTCTACCACTCTACCCTTTTTCTACTGAAGATTTTCTAGTGTGTCTATATTCCTTTTAAAATGTGGTGCCTGATATAGAATACAAGATGCATGCAAACTCAAGATTATTCATCTAGGTACTATACTTCTGTTGCTTAAGGCAGGACCATACTGAACCTTGAAAGTCAGGGCAAGGACTTTGAATTTTGTTCTTTCAGGTATTGGGAAGCAATGGAAGGTTTTGAGCAGGTAAACATTTTGGGAGCGGGGGCCATATCTTACGATGTATATCCCATTGATTCTAACTGGAATGTAAGCTCTAGGTATCTGTCCCATTCATAGCATGGCTTCAGTACCTGGGGAGGGCTGGCATGTTTTATGTATTTAATACACCTACATGAATGACTTAATACAAATCTCTATCAGTGTCTGGCACATAGTGTGTACAACAATTCATACTTGTTTAACTCAGGCAGGTAAATGATCAAAGCCATACTTCGGGAGGATAACTGGCAAGAGTGCGTAAAAAGTATTGGAGATAACACACACTATAGGGTGAAAACAACAAGAGAAGTTTTAGCAGTCTCAACAAGGGGAAACAAGGGTTAGGATAACATAGTGAGTAACAGAAAAGAAAGAATGGATGTAAGATTGTGAAAGAGAATTTGTGATGACCTAGAAATTAAATGGACATGTAGAAGGAGGAAGTGATAAAGAAAACTCTTGGGCTTGAATTTGGAAAGCTGAAAGAAAAATGTTGCCATTCATAGAAGTTATTTTAGGAGTTGCAGAGTTATTATTATTTTTTTATTATTATTATTTTTGAGACAGAGTCTTGCTCTGTCACCCAGGCTGAAGTGCAGTGGTGCGATCTCAGATCACTGTAAGCACTGTCTCCCGGGTTCACGCCATTCTCCTGCCTCGGCCTTCTGAGTAGCTGGGACTACAGGCACCTGCTGCCATGCCTGGCTAAGTTTTTGTATTTTTTAGTGGAGATGGGGTTTCACTGTGTTAGCCAGGATGGTCTCGATCTCCTGACCTGGGATTACAGGCGTGAACCACTGTGCCCGGGGGAGTGGCAGATATTTTATGGTACTAGGATGAAATCAGTCTGGGGTAGGCTGAATTTAAACGCACTGACACAATATGCTCAGGAGGCTAAAATGTGGGACTGGAATTCAGAAGTAGAGTGATATCGGCTAGGCACCATGACTCATTCCTATAATCCCAGCACTTTGAGAGGCTGAGGCGGGTGCTTGAGCCCAGGAATTCGAGACCAGTCTGGGCATCATAGCAAGACCCCATCTCTACAAAAAAACAAAAACAAAAACAAATTAGCCTGCTGTGGTGGCACGCACCTGTAGTCCCTCCCAGCTACTCAGGAGGTTGATGTGGGAGGATCAGTTGAGCCCAGGAGATCAAGGCTGCAGTGAGCCATGATCGCACCACTGCATTCCAGCCTGGGTGACAAAGCAAACCCCTATCTCAATAAATAAATAAATAAAATAAAATAAAATAAAAATACATTCTTATTAGAAAGAAAAATGTTGATGTTTTGTTTCTAAGTATGCCATGTATATTTTTTACTCATTTTCATATGCAGTGATCCAGATTTTGCATGGTCTAAAGTTTATACAACATGGGAGTCTTTCTTTAAGGAAAGAATAAAACATTTAAAATACAAAATTAGGGCCAGGTGCAGTGGCTCACCCCTGTAATCCCAGTACTTTGGGAGGCTGAGGTGGGGGGATCACCTTCGGTCAGGAGTTTGAGACCAGCCTGGCCAATATGGTGAAACCCTGTCTCTACTAAAAAGCACAAAAAATTAGCCAGGTGTGGTGGTGCATGCCTGTAGTCCCTGCTACTCGGGAGGCTGAAGCAGGAGAATTGCTTGAACCTGGGAGGCAGAGGTTGCAGTGAGCCAAGATTGTGCCACTGCACTCCAGCCTAGGTGACAGAGACTCTGTCTCAAAAAATAAAATAAAATAAAATAAATTAGGTAAAATGTTTTCAAAATGGGGGGAAAAGTCACAACAAATTTACTTCTTAGGCAAAATAGCTTTTCTTGAGAAATACACTTTCAAAAATTGTAGAGCTAAAATCTGTTTTTCCAAAGAGAATATCTGTCCTATAATTTTTTTTTAAGTGGCTTTTAAGGTTCTTGTTTTGTTTGAGTTGAGAAGCTGCACTTCTCGGGATTAGAGTAGGAGAAAGGAGGTGTGTTGTGAAGCTATTGGTTTATGTTAAATTTGGACCTACTACAGTAAGAATCAGAATAATGGCATTTACAAATCCTTGGCAACATCAATTCCACTTTCAGTTCCAGAAAGATCCATCACCTTTTCCTTTCTCTGTGTTCCTTTTCCAGATCACTTCATTCTTCCCACCTGCAATGCCCTGCCATTCTTGAAGAAGACCAAAATACTAAAAAGACTCAGTTTTTCTCTCTTGGCCATAAGTTTAGTGCAAAGAGAGAGATGATGGTGAAGAAACATAATAATGCAGCTTTTTTACTATAATCCTTAAAAATCAAAGACACTCTCTGGCTAATAAGACTAATCAGAGGTCCCCCCAACTTTCCTCAAAAACAGACTATGCCCAAGACATCCCTTCTCGGATAAAAGTTTAACTTTTCCTAAAAGGCTCTAACGGAAAAGGTCTCAGGCTGAGACAGAAGGGTTGCTTGAGCCCAGGAGTTTGAGTTCAGTCTGGCCATCATAGCAAGATCCTCCTGCCTCTAAAAAAAAAAAAATAATAATAATAATAAAACTCTTTACTTCCTTCAGTCATTTCCCCCATGATTTCCCAAGTTCATAGCAAGGTGTTATTAAACTCAGAAGAATTGCTGGAATTTATCCCAGTGAAAACTCCACCAGGAAGGCCATGTGGGTAGTTACTTACCTTCTGAGAGCGGATATCCAAGGCTAGATTCACCTGTTGCCAGAGCAGTCTCCTCCTACTCAAGTACATCTCTTGTCAGTCTCTGTTTTTGTCAACCTCTTCTCACAAAAGGAGAGTGGTTGGTAGCTCTCTCTCTTCCCCACTCCCAAGCTGAACTCAGAAGCTTCATGAATAGTTCAACTGAAACAGGATCAAGTTTCAGACACTCCCACACTGAGAAAATGATCCCACTAGATTAAATTGGAGCCTAGATCAGTGGAGGACTATTTCCACAACTCTGCCAGGGCTGGGACAGCCATCATTAAAAGCTCAGGTAAAAATTTCTTCCTTTTTTTTTTTTTTTCTTTTTTTTTTTTGAGACAGCATCCCGCTCTGTTGCCCAGGCTGGAGTGCAGTGGTGCGATCTTGGCTCACTGCAACCTCTACCTCCCGGGTTCAAGTGATCTTCTGCCTCAGCCTCCCAAGCAGCTGGGACTACAAGTGCATGCCACCATGCCCAGCTAATGTTTGTATTTTTCGTATAGACGAGGTTTCATCATATTGACCAGGCTGGTCTCAAACTGCTGACCTTGTGTTCCGCCCTTCTTGGCCTCCCAAAGTGCTGGGATTACAGGTATGAGCCACCATGCCCGGCCTCAGGTAAAAACTTCTAAGTAGGATCATATGAGTGGTAGAGGATGGATTGGTAGCCAGCTTTTTGGTCTATGCAATGGGTCTCTGAATTAGCAGTATCTCCCAGGGACTTGTTAGAAATGCAAATCCTTGGACCCTTATCCTGGTCCTAATGAATAAGAAACATTGGGGGTGTTGGCCTGTGTGTGTGTGTGTGTGTGTGTGTGTGTGTGTGTATTTAAGAGATGGCGTCTCACTATGTTGCCCAGGCTGGAGTGCAGTGGCTATTCATAGGTGAATCACAGTGCACTACAGCCTCAAACTCCTGGGCTCAAGTGATCCTCCTGCCTCAGCCTCCCTAGTAGCTGGGACTATTGGCATGTACCACCACTTCCTGCGGCATTTGTGTTTTAACCAGCTTCTCTAGGTGATTGTGATGTATGCTTAAGTTTGAGAACTACTTGTCAACAGGATTAGTGATGCTTTAAAATGTTTTCCCTCTTTCCTCAGAAGAATTTACTTGACACATTTGATTTAAAAAGTCAAAACTGGCCCAGTCATGGTGGCTCATGCCAGTAACCCCAGTACTTTCGGAAGCTGAGGTAGGTGGATCATTTGAGGTCGGGAGTTAGAGACCAGCCTGGCCATCATGGCAAAACCCTGTCTCTACTAAAAATACAAAAATTGGCTGGGTCTGGTGGTGTGCACTTGTGGTCCCAGCTACTCAGGAGGCAGAGGTTGCAGTGAGCCGAGATCGTGCCACTGGACTCCAGCCTGGGCGACAGAGCCAGTCTCCATCTCAAAAAAAAAAAAAATCTGCTTTATTCTTTTTAATGGCTGCTGAGTACTCAAGTACTCCATTTTCTCTATTGGTAGGCTTTTGTATTGTTTCAAATATCTTATTATAGCAACATTGCAATAAATATCCGTGTGTGTGTGTGTGTGTGTGTGTATATATATTTTTTTTTTTTTTGAGATAGAGTCTCACTCTGTCTACTCAGGCTGGAGTGACAGCCTTGTATATATATTTCTCTGTGCACTTGTGGAAATGTTTTTGTGGAATAAGTTCCTCCAAATATTAAAAATGTAAATGATAGGTTGCAGGATATGCACATTTGGAATTTTAATAGATATTACCAAATTACACACTAAAAAGGTTATAGTAATTTACACTCCCATCAAATAGGCATGAAAGTGCCTTTTCTTTTTTTTCACAGCTTCACCAGTATAAGTTACGCAGAGTCTCTGAAATATTGGTTGAGCTAATTGGCTAAAAACAATATCTTAGTTTTTAGGCCAGGGATGGTGGCTCACGCCTGTCATCCCAGCACTTGGGGAGGCTGAGGCAGGTGGATTGCCTGAGGTTAGGAGTTCGAGATCAACCTGACCAACATGGTGAAACCCTGTCTCTACTAAAAATACAAAAAATTAGCCGGACATGGTGGCTTGCGCCTGTAATCCCAGCTACATGGGTGGCTGAAGCAGGAGAATCACTTGAACCCGGGAGGGTGAGGTTGCGGTGAGCTGAGATCGCGCCACTGCACTCTAGCCTGGGTAACAGAATGAGAAATCAAGACTGTGTCTCAAGAAAAAACAAAACAAAACAAAACAAACAAACAAAAAAAACCCACAATATATTCTTGTTTTGTTTCGTTTTTGTTTGTTTTTGTTTTTGTTTTTTTGAGATGGAGTCTTGCTCTGTCGCCCAGGCTGGAGTGCAGTGGTGCGATCTCGGCTCACTGCAAACTCCGCCTCCGGGGTTCAAGTGATTCTCCTACCTCAGCCTCCTGAGTAGCTGGGATTACAGGCACACACCACCACGCCTGGCTAATTTTTGTATTTTTAGTAGAGATGGGGTTTCACCATGTTGGTCAGGCTGGTCTTGAACTCCTGACCTCAGGTGATCCACCTGCCTCGGCCTCCCAAAGTGCTGGGATTATAGGTATGAGCCACCACGCCTGGCCCAGTATCTCAGTTTTTAAAAAATTGCATTTCTTTAATTACTATAGTATTTGAATCTCTATTGAGTTACATATTTTATAGATACATACAAATCTATCTTCACCTTACCTATCATTTTCCCTTTTGACTGAGCTATCAATCTTTCACTTACTGATTTGAAGATGTATATCTATCTACAAACATAAGTACACAGTTACATTTTTACACATTTTTTACATATTAATAACTTTTTGTGATATATGTGGTTCCCAGTGCCTATCCTCTGCAACTCCAACGCTCTCATTATACAATTTGCTATCAACATCAGTTTCCAGAATTAAACCTCTCTTCTCAGTCCAATAACTTCTGACTTCATTTGTTTCCCAGATCAGTCTTATCCCCTTTCAGAGATGTTTAAACTAGGCTCTTCTGTAATTCTAGAATCTTCCATCTTCAAGATACTGATCAGTCCATCATCTCTCCAATTGTGGGCAAACTGTTCACTTTCCTCAGGTTTCTGAGTATTGACAGAAATTACAATGCTCCATAGTTTCATGAAAATTTATGCATTCTAACTTTGTTTAGTTCCCCAGAGCAATTGGTGATCATTTTTGTTTCCTTTTTCTACTCCTGTGGCAGATTATTCACAGTCATTTTGTTCATACCTAGTTGACTTCCCAACCAATTGTTTACAGTTGTGCAGCTACACCCAACCCCATTTCTACCTCTTATTCCCAGCAGAAGTTTTACCTGCTACTTTTCTTTGAGAATCAAAGTCATCACACATGAGTTCCCTTTCCTCCACTTCAAAATGTCTACACATTTTTAGAAAAAGGGTATCTTGGTTTTCTAAGAACACTTTCACATGCTGCCCCAACCCTGTCTCCTTCTCTCCCCTAGTACCAGTCTTGTTTTCTCAGGCATATGTATTTCTTGCATTTATTTATTTTTTATTTTTTGAGACAAAGTCTTGCTTTGTCACTCAGGCTGGAGTGCAGTGGCGCAATCTGGGGTCACTGCAACTTCCAGTTCCCGGGCTCAAGTGATTCTCGTGCCTCAGCCTCCCGAGTAGGCAGGATTACAGGCGTGTAACACCACGCCTAGCTAGTTTTTATATTTTTAGTAGAGACGAGGTTTTGCCCTGTTGGCCAGGCTGGTCTCGAACTCCTGATCTCAGGTGATTCACCCACCTTGGCCTCCCAAAGTGCTGGGATTATAGGTGTGAGCCATCACGCCTGGATGTTTCTTGCATTTTTAGTTTGCTCCTTTCCACAAGCTCAGTCTATAGACTTATTTTATTATTTCCACCCCTAGCCTAACCCCTATCACAGCCTACCATTTGATTATTTTTCTCTTCATTGTCATGTTTCTTGAAAAAGTAATCTGTGCTAACTAGCTGTGTCTACTTAGTTTCTACTCACTTCTCACCCACTTGCAATCTCGTTTCCATTCCTTAGATGTGCTCATAGGCTGGGCGTGGTGGCTCACGCCTGTAATCCCAGCACTTTGGGAGGCCAAGGTGGTGGTGAGGTGAGGAAATTACCTGAGGTGAGGAGTCCGAGACCAGCATCTGTGACCTGTCTCTACTAAAAATACAATAATTAGCTAGGCATGGTGGCGGGCGCCTGTAATCCCAGCTAGTCGGGTGGCTGAGGCAGGAGAATCGCTTGAATCGGGGAGGCGGAGGTTGCGGTGAGCCAAGATCATGCCATTGCACTCCAGTCTGGGCAACAAGAGCAAAACTCCATTTCCAAAAAAAAAAAAAAAAAAAAAAATTATTTGTTGTTTATCCAGCATTCAAATCAAACTGGCTTACCTTTATTTTTATTTGCTAAATCTGGCAACCATACCCAGAGACACTTAATAAAACTTTGGAGGCTGGTCTGAGTGCCTTGGTGTTTACGACTAATTGATCCCAATCAGTTACAGATTTCTTTGTTCCTTCACTTGACTGGTCTTAAACACAAACAAACAAAAACTAAATAAACTAAATAATTAAAAAACAAAAAACTAAATAATTAAAAAACCAGTTTACCATAAAGAGTTAACAGAAAAAAAACTGTAATTTTCTATTAATTTACAAATTAATATAAAAATAATAGTAATAGTATTAGTAATGGTTAAATATTGGTAAGTTGAAAATGTGTATAAAAACATGTAGGTCAGACTTCACAGTCAACTGATTTCTTAATTTTTTAAAATTTGCTAACTGGCATCCTGATCTGTTAAATTTTATTTCTACTAAAATTAGAAAATCTGTATTTACAGTGAATTGGTCAGATATGGCAAGAAGTGTTTGATGGTTACCAGATAATTCTGAATAGTTGGAGCTTACAAGGATCTATTGGAGAATTTCTAGTGAAAGCATTCAGTGGTTTGTCAGATTCTAAGCAGAAGAGCAAAGAGCCTCAAAAGTCAAATGCTTCAACTTGAGAGAGAGCAGGAGTTGTATTCAGTTGCATTGGCTACATTCAGCTCTGGGAAGCATTTACCCCCATTTGGTTGCAACATTTGGATGTGGTTTAGAATATGTTCAATAATGTGTCATTCATTTTTTTCCTCTGATGAAGAAAGAA